TGTTTCTGACTTGCTGCTAAAGATATCTGCAACATGTATTATTTTATCCTTAGGTACCCAGATCTTCTTGGGTCCTGATTTGTTAGTTTTACCAAAACTCTGGTTGAATTTTGGTTTCACAAAGTGATTACTACTAGTATATTTGATGTCATGTGTGTGACCATACACAAAGTGTGAATTTATAGGGGTGTGTTTAATAACTAAATCCATGACATTTTTAGGTGTAGGAACCTTACCTAGGTATCCTATTCCTTTCCTGCCGTTTCCGCTAACTCCATAGATCATTGAAGCCATTCTGCTTCTATCTATGCTTTTAGCAAGGAACTTCTGGAAACTATGATCATACTCCTTGATGATCTCATCAGAGTTGCTGGGAGTTTCAGCAATTGGTTCCTTCTGAGAGTTTTGTAAAGAGTTTTCTAATTTTAAAATTTTATCTCTCAGCTCAGAGTTTTCCAATCTGAGACTCTCAGACTTATTAGAGTCAGATTCAAGAGTCCTTTTCAGGTCTCTGAATTTAGCTCTAATCTGCTGATAACGTTCCAGAATTTCATTTAGGCTTTCAGCAAGTTCAGCCTTTGTAAAATTAACAGCGAAGTTAGGGAATACCTCTTCTGTGTCTGATTCTGAGTCTGAGTCAGAAGCTTCACTGTCATCTTGAATGTTAGCCATAAGCGCTAAGTTCGCCCGTTCATCATCTGATTCTGAGTCAGCTTCAGACGAGTCAGAGTCATCCCATGTGGCCATGAGACTTTTCTTCTTCTCTCTTCCAAACTTCCTTTTTGGCTTTTCCCTCTGAAGCTTTGGACAGTCACTCTTGTAGTGACCTTGCTCATTGCACTCGTAGCAGATGATGTCTTTTGTATTTGGCTTCTTGCTACCTGAGGAGCCTTCAGATCTTCTGTATCCAGAGGAAGAATCTGTCCTTCTGTGTCTGGAAGAAGACTCGTTATGATCAGATCTTCTGGGATTCCTGAACTTCTTTTGTCTTTGCTTCCACAGTTGATTTACTCTTCTGGAGAGAAGAGAAAGCTCGTCTTCTTCTGATGAGGATCCATCAGATGTTTCTTCAACTGCCTGCAAAACTTTAGATTCAGATTTTCTGTTAGATTTCAAAGCTATAGGCTTACCTTGCTTCTGAGGCTCGTCAGCTTCCAGCTCTATCTCATGACTTCTGAGGGAGCTTATAAGTTCCTCCAGAGTGATTTTGTTGAGATCTTTCGCCAGCTTCAGAGCAGTAACCATAGGCCTCCACTGCTTGGGTAAACTTCTGATTATCTTCTTGACATGGTCAGCAGTAGAGTACCCCTTGTCCAGAACTTTGAGACCAGCTACCAGAATCTGGAATCTAGAGAACATAGTTTCAATGGATTCAGATTCTTCCATTTTAAATGCCTCATACTTCTGAATGAGCGCCAGAGCCTTTGTTTCCTTGACTTGAACGTTCCCCTCATGCGTCATTCTGAGAGAGTCAAAGATGTTCTTAGCTGTGTCTCTGTTGGAGATCTTCTCATACTCAGTATATGAGATGGCACTGAGGAGGATGGTTCTGGCCTTATGGTGATTCTTGAAATCACACTTTTGTTGATCAGTCATTGATTTTCTATCAATCTTCTGACCAGTTGCATTCACAGGGTGCGTGTATCCATCTGTCACCATATCCCACAGATCAGCATCATGTGCTAGAAAGAAGCTTTCAATTCTGTCTTTCCAGTAGTCAAAGTTTTCTCCATCAAAGACTGGAGGTTTGCCACTGAATCTGTCTCTATCCTCATTGTTGTCATTGCTGAAATGAGAGTTGTTTCCTGCCATAGTGTTTTTCTGACGCTGGATCTTTTACTGACACGGTTAAGTGTTTTAGCTCAGAACCAGGCGCTCTGATGCCAATTGAAGGGGTGAAAAACACAAGAAGGGGGGGTTGAATTGTAAAACTGGAAACTTAAAGCAAATGACAAGGTATTTTTATCCTGGTTCGTTTGATCTCAAACTACTCCAGTCCACCCGTTCAAGGTGATTTCGCCTCTCTCCAACGAGGTCTTAATTCACTATATTCAACTGAATACAAATCTGCTTTAGCAACTGCTAAAACCTTCTTGATTCAAACCACAATCTGGTTTGTCAAGGCAATACTTTCTTACAAAGGAATAATCAAATGTGTGTGAATGTTTCTACAAAAACTATATCACAACTGTGATGTTTACACAAATGAAGCTTAGAATACTAAGTTGCTAAACGCTAATAGAGTATCAGAGTTTGGTGGTTTAGCAAAACTTGTAGAGTGAAGATTACTGTTCAGCTTTTTGCGTGTAGAGAGTTTGGAAGCATTAGCCATTATAATCTTCAAAGCTTGGTTTATATAGCACTTGAGAAGATGAACGTTGAAGCAAATATTCTTGATTCAATGCTATTAACAAGCTTTCCTTTCTGAGCAGATCTTGTCTAGAATGATGCCGTTGGTATTGATTAGCTTTCAATGCACAGTACCGTTGCTTCTTCAATGCACGATCTGGCTTGGCTCATTCTGATTCTGCTTTGCTGCTGATGAACTGATTTGATTCTGTATCAGAGTATTTTACGCGCAGTTCTGTTCATCAAGCTTCAGCATGTGCAAGCGTTGATCTTCTGATCTTGACGTTCTGATTCAGCAACTTCTGATGCTGGTGTGCAAACTCATATTCTGATGCTGAGAACGTGATCTTGCTTATTTTAATCAGCATATCTGCAAGTCAGAGCATAGTAATTTTAAGTAGCATATAATTCAATCATGAAATATTTAACTACTATATCTTTTCACTTTGTTATCATCAAAACTTAATTATAGGGTACTAGATTCAAACATTGTTCTAACAATTGGGTTGTTTGTTTGTTTTGTGTGCAGGTCATTGTGATTACATACTTTGTTTGTAATCTGGAATTCACCTGTATATAGCCGTTACTCTGCCCAATTTTTTCGAAGACTTAATACACTTGAAGTTTGGTTCTCTCAAGAGGTCTAGTATCTTTGCTTGCTTGGTTTCAATCCAATGAATGGGAATTTTATCTTGACCTATAATGTCAAGTATTGGCTTCTTGTTGGTTAGAATATTCTCTTCCTTAACTTTTACCTTATGCTTTAGGATAGTCCCTTCATCTCCTCCCATCTTCTTTAATTTTCAAAACTTTCTCATCTTTTTCAAAATCTTCTTTGTTTATAAAATCAAACCGCTTTCATAATAAACCTCGACTTTGTCGAGTGCTTTTCTTTTAAAACTTCTTTTCTTTAAACAAACTTCAATTTATTTAATCATACCTCGACATCTTTCAAAATTAACAAATACACTTCAACTCATTTAAACTCTTTTGTGCGCTCGAGCACCTTTACCATTCAAACCTTTTTTTTTCAAAGTGAGACATGATTCATTGATAGTCGAGCAACATTCTCCAATCCCTATGGTTATAAAGGTGTCGACTTTTCCACTTGAGTGCTAGAGGCGTTCTCAAACCCTCACTCTTGCTGACGCATGGTCCATCTTTCTCACACCTTGTGGGCGTTAGTCGAGATTTGTCTCCTAACAATGACGACTTGTCTCCTTTTTTAAAAACAATCAACAGACAAGTCTTTTCTATCCGAACTACAGTGCTCTGACTTTCCCATTACACGAGGGAGTACGTAGGCACTAAGTCTTACGACCCAAGGCGAGCAATAAAAATAATAAAAAAACATTTCATTTTCTTTTGTTTACAAATACTCATTCATTCTTTTCCTTAACAAGTAAACCTTTACATGACACTCATTTTAAAATAAACCAAACAAAGTGGATCCTGCGGAGTACGGTAGATGCTTAGGGTGCTAATACCTTCCCTTTGCATAACCGACCCCCGTACCTCGATCTCTGACCTTTTACTTCATTTTTGGATTTTGTTCGCTTTTTTCCCATTTCCCTTTGCAAATAATAAAGTGCGGTGGCGACTTCATTGTGTTGAGTTAAGTCAATTGATGACTTAAATCTCAAATCTTTATCGTACATTTCTATTTCATATCATTAATGTCGCAATTCCGTTCTCTCTTAGTTCTGATTTGCGAGTGGCGACAGAATCCTTGTGAACAAGGTAGATAATGGGTTCCTAACACCTTCCCTTAGTCTAGAACCGAGTCCAAAAAACCTAGAATCTCTAACTTTTAGGTTTATCCTTTATATTCTCTTCCTTAAGATAAAAATTAAGGGTGACAACTCTCAAATTTAAAACCAGTTCCAACACCTAACTCCAAACCTCTTTTGATCCAAGCCTGAGATCTATATAAGACCATGTGCAATGGGTATGTTGAGTTTGAACTCAACATGCAAAATCTCCTCCAATGGGTGTTGAGAGAGGTGTTGAGTGTGTGTTGGAAGAGAGAGGTGTTGAGAAAACTCAACACAATTGAAGCTGACCAAGTGCAGCCACGTGGCTGTGCTTGATTGGCTGATCAGATTTTTATCCATTTAATACTTTGAACTCAATTATTTCGTTGCAAATTAATTTTTTTTTTTATTTTTTTTTATCAAAATTCATGATTTTTTTCTCTATAAATAGAGACTTGGTTCATTTGATTTGGACACAGAAAAAAAAACTAAGTTTTTCACTATCTTAATTTTATTATTAGTGTTTATTTTGAAGTTAAGTGTATCGTATCCAATTATTTAAATAAATTTTGTTTTTATTACAAAAAATTAAAAAATAAATTATTAAGTATTTATTATTTTAATTTAATTTTAATTGATAATTGTAATTTTATGTAATCATAAAAATAAAAATAAAATTTAAATAAGAATATGAAAATAAAAAGTGGTAGGGTAGGGTGTTGAGTGAAAAACCATTGGAGAGGGTAAAAGTTGAATGAGTGTTGAGTTATTAGGTGGAAGAAAGAGAAAATGATGTGGAGTGTTGGGAGTTGAAAAAGTGGGTGTTGAGTTTTTCAACCATCGTAAATGGTCTAAGTTAAGCATCACCTTCAATCAGGGAGGACCACAATTCTCCCCATTTATCTTTTCACTCTCCTGAATCTTCTTCCTCTCACTCTTCCTTCTCTGTAACCTCACACTCACACATGCACCTCCGTCCCTCTCTTCATCCCTCACCTCCTTTAACCCTCACCATTGCCTCACCTCAGAAACTCTCACCTGCAACACTCACTCTCTCTCAAGCTTCATTCTCTGCTCACAGAAGCACACACAACAATAAACAAGAACCACAAAGAAGAAGTGTAAGAAGAGAGAAGAATAAGTAGAAGAAGGTAGACACTGAAGACAAGAAAAAGAAGAAGAAGAGTTGAAAGCAATACGAAGCTACCTGAGATCTTCAACATACTCTAGAATTCGCGGCATCGAGGTAAACAATTTCTTCCTCCTTCTTCATGATTCTTGATACCATTGGGTAGTTTATACTCTTTTGAGAGCTTCCCCTAAGTTTTCACACCTAGATCGTTCACCAGAGGTATTTGATTTCACTTTTAATCATTCTAGGGTTTTCGAATTCGTTTATATTTAGAGAAGATTAGCAAGAATATGAGAAAAAGAAAGTTCTATTAAGAATCAGAATGACGAGATGAATTGATTAGTCTGAATAATTTTGATTTCTGGGTGGAAGGGTGCCGCAGCCGCTGCTGTGAGGCGCGCAGGCTTATGCCCACCCCTACCCTTAAGGCTTACCGAAATCTAAACTTTGTTATATATATATATATATATATATATATATATATATATATATATATATATATATATATATATATATATATATATATATATATATATATATATATATATATATAACGCGTGTGTGTGCATGTGTGTGTATGGGCGTGCACGTGTGTGCTTGTGTGTATGTATGCGTGCGTGAGAGAGATAAAGTTGATAAGAGAAGAGAGAAAGAAAGAAGAAGAGAAAACTTGGAAGAAGAAGTAGGATCATCATCATCATCTTCACTAATTCATCTTAATTTCTTAATCATCTTCTTGAATAAAAGTGCGTTCTTAGATAGTTTAGCCATTGAGAAACTTACACTCTATGTGTTTTTGTTCTAACTATGGAATTGATGATTATGCATGTTTACTTGTTGTTACATGATGCTTATGGTGATTCTTGATTGGTTTATTTTGTTAGTGCAAAAGTCTTACCATGATTCATGATTGTACTTTTATATTGATATAAATCAATCCATTGGTTGAGAATGATCTTTGCTGTGTCATTTTATGCATCATTAACAAAAGGTAATGAGGTTTACTTGAATGTCAATTATTTCGAGCTTTATGATCTTTCTAATCAGGTTAGCCAATATATTTATGTTAGGGTTTTAAGGACTTCTAGTGGCAAAGTTTATGTTAATTTCACTAACCCAATATATGGTTAGATACGTTTACCTTTAGAGCCATTTTTATTTTTGTTGGATTAATTGAATAAATGTGTTTTGTTATCAAGGTTATGGTTAATTAGTGAGTATTGATTTATGATTTTGTTGTTTATTCAGGGGTTATGACATTGGATGTGTTGAATTTTACTCCATTGAACAAGAGATAGAAAAGGATGGGATTATTCAATAAAATGATTTTTTTTTACACGACAATCCTTTAGCATTGACTATACATATGTTTTGCATGACTTAGTGATGAAACTCCATGGAACTACCATTGCAATTTGGGTCCATATTAAAGATTAAATTTTTCAATTCAAATTGAATTTTGGCGTAACAGTAATTTTATGAGATTGGTTATTTCAATTTTCAAAATTCTTAGACTTCTGCAATTTAATATTGACTTTCTTTAATTTGCTTTGTTTTTTTGTGTTGAATGAAACAAATTCCTTTCAATGCTGATCTCTTGACAATATTAGCAATGTAGCTGTCTATGTTAGTCCAAAACCTTTAGCACTTCTACACCCATCTAAGGATCCCGTTCAGGTACCAATGATTATTCTTTTGAAGTTTAAGCATATGTTTTTTTTCCTTTGCGTAATAGGATGAATGTTGAAATAATTAATAACCTTCTTCCTTAATTTTTGTGTACTACAGTACAATAATAGTTGACATAGAGGGATTCGTTTGTTTTTGTTTGTAAGCACAGAATTCCAAGGCACACTCCTCCCATAGGGTACAATAAATTGTGTTGTTACTACATGTTCTTAAACGTAGGAAAAAACAAATAAAATGAAATAGATGAAAGTAATATAAACCATTAGAAATTATGGTAGTTTAAGGTCATACCTCAGATCTTTCAAGATCAAGTTAACATGTGGTTTTTTGCTTTCTAATTGACATTGACAGTATCCAACTTCGTCTACCATACAAATCACATATGTAGATAAAAAAGAGTATGAATTGAATCCATAAAAACATAAAAATGAATCTGAAACTTATTTGAAAAAAAATAGTACTCCAAAGTAAAGGTGATAATTATACAAAAAAGGGACCAGTTTCTAACTAAGATGCTTCTTTTCACTTTTTTTCACTGATTATGTTTTGTATCCCTGGTGTCATAGCAAAACAGTCAGGTTCCAGAAAGCCATGGCCATAGGACATGTAGAGTTAGAGACTTAAGAGTACATTAATAGTCTATAGTACATACACCTGACGACAAATATTCAACTTTTTGAGCTTTTCTTTTTTTATCTCATTGGTTGACAAATCCTTAATAAATTTTTATTTTCTCATGTTTCTTGAATCATGCGTCTCATTATTGCATCACCACCATGTAATAGTGAGTGTTCTTTTAAGTAAGGATGGATTAAAAAGAGTATTTGAGATATTTTTGCCCGGTTACAAACTCTGAGGCAAAGCTCGGAAGAAAGAAAAATTCATATCCAAATTAGACTTAAATTTAAAAATACAAAGGATCCTTGTAAAATTCATAAAAGTTATATTTGTTAAAAGAAATATTGCCTATAAGAGACCACTTTCACGCCAGTACTTTAATATTCCAAACAATATCCGACACGACGCATCATCGTTGTTGAACAAAATGACGTTCCTCGCCCTCCATAAATTCCAACAAACCGTCATCCACAGTATAGATTCATTAGCAGCTTTCACCTTCTTATTCTTACAAAGATTAAACCAAAGTAAGAAACTCCCCGTAACAGATTCTTGAGGCCTAAGCATCATCAGATTCTTGAGGCCTAAGCATCATCCCAATCCAATTCGACACTATATTCCAAACCAAACTAGAGATTTCGCAAACCAAAAAAAGATGGAGCAAGTTTTCCTCTTCAGAATAAAAAGCAAAACTAATATCAGAAGAGGAAGACAAAATATATCTACGGGACAATTGGTCCTTCGAAGCGATCCAGTTATGGAAACACCTCCAACCAAAGGCTTTAATACGATACGAAACCGAAGATTTCCATAACAAAGCAAATATGTTCTCACTGGCTATCCCAAGAGCCTCCTGAAACTGAGAATTAATCAACATCGCATACCCGCTTTTATCCATATAGCTGCCCAACATGTTTGGAAACCAACGAACTGTATCAACCTCCGCTGGGGCTTGGACAACCTGAACCAGAGAATCCAGCAGCTCCTGCAACTCGCTGCCCAGGCCATCTGATAGAGGAGTCGAGACGCCAAGATCCCCCCAGGTCCAAGAATCCAGGAACCTGCCACCCATCACCGCAACATAACATTTTTTCTCGAACTCAGCCCTACAAACCTGGAAAATCAAGTTTCAGAAATACTATTATTATTAGCCCATGAAGCATGCCAAAATGGAATGCTTGCCCCACTGCCCAAAACAAACCTACAGTTGCCACTGAAAATGTCAACATGATTCCTCTTTTCCATCAATGCGATGTCCTTCCACCAAGACGGTTTAGAACCGCCACCACTAGCACTAACATCTGAGAGAACATATAGTTTAAATTGCCGTATCTCGCCTTAGAATGTTGATCCACAAAGACTCTCCACCTTACAAAATCCTCCATTTCTATTTTAATGACAAAGTTATGTTGAATTCCTCAACTCTCTTCAATCCTAACCCTCCTTATCAATCGACAAACAAACTTTATCCCACCATATCCAATGGATCCTCCTTCTATCATTCGTCCCTCGCCAAAGAAAATTGCTTTCAATCCTAACAATTTCTTTGCAAATCAAAATTTTCTCTAAAGAAAGACAATTGGAAAATAGAGAGACTACTAACATATTTCAACAAAGCAACTCTTCCACCCAAGTTGAGAAACCTGCCAGGCCAACAAGAGAGTCGTTTCGTCAGTTTATCTATCATCAAGCGCCACGAAGAAATACGACGCGGATTAACTCCTATCTGAATACCAAGGAAAGGGAAAATGCTTCCTTCTATCCTACATGATAAGAAATTAGCCGCAATATTGAGAAAATGATTGCTCAGATTGATACCAATCAACTTACTCTTGCGGTAATTGACCCCTAACCCCGAGACCGCTTCAAAACCTCTTAGGATCAATTTAAGAGCCCAAATGTGATTCCAACCACCTTCACCTACCAACAGAGTATCGTCCGAGAATTGAAGAATATCCACGATGCACCTTCCCTTAACATCAAAACCTGAAAACACACCTAGCTCCTTGGCCTTCCTAACCAGTCCGGACAGCCCATCCTCTACAAGAATGAACAAGAAAGGGGATAAAGCATCACCCTGTCTCAGCCCCCTACCCACCCCAAACTCTTTCGTAGGACTACTTTTCACCAAGACGAACATATGGCTAGTGAAAACGGTGGCCTCCATCCAACGTAACCACATATCCCCAAAGCCCATTCTAGACATGACATACTTGAGATACTTCCAACTAACCTTGTTACAAGCCTTTTCAAAATAGACCTTGAAAAGCAAACAACTCCTCGTATCTTTCGTAGCAAGATCCACCACCTCGTTGGCAACAAGGACACGTTCTAACAGGTGCCTACCCGGAACAAATGTGCTTTGCAAAACTAACATACCCAACACTTTCTTCAACCTAGCCGCAAAGCTTAGATAGAGCCTTATGCAAGCAAGCAACCAAGCAAATTGGCTTGTAATCATCGAGACACGTGCTTTAGAATAAAACTCAATTCCCATGAAATTCATTTAAGAAGCGGGTGAAATCCTTCTTAAGAAAAAACCAACACTTACGAATGAAATAGGAGTTGTAACCACTCGGCCTCGAACACTTGGTTCCTTCGCAACCCCATGCCGCTTCCTTGATTTCGAGATAAAAAAAAGGAGCGTCTAAAGATGCACTCTCCGCTTGAGACAAAATTTTAAAACCAATACCTTCAAAAATTGGT